TTTTTTTTTTTTATTATGGAACAATTACATTAGATATACCAAACATATAACCAGAAAAAAAAAAATACAGAAAACTGAATTGAGACAACGGCGGCATGTCACCAAAATTAGAGATTTTGTATTTTTTTCGAAGAAAAGCCTTAATTAGCCGACCCTAACTAATACTATTGTGAGATTTAAATAAATAAATCACTTAACCTATCCCCAATCCCAAATTCTAGGGCTTCCAGCCATGGGTGACGAAACTCCATTTCCCAATCTGCAATCCAAATAATACCGTCTCTTCTAACCAGAAAAGGAGCTGCTCGGACGGCCAGTCTGTCAAAATCATGGCGCAACGCGTGGCTGACTAGCCCACACCTCGAACTCGATGAGAGCAATCTGCAAACCTCGACAACCGGCAACCTCACCTTTGAGCTCTATTCGGCGACCTTCGACGGGCCCCGATTTCTGATGGGCTGCGACCTTCGCAAGCCGATCGCCTCCTACCACGTTGTCGGATGCCCTACGCGGGTGCGGGAAGAAGTAAATTGAAATTTGAGATTTGATTGTTGTGAGAATTTTAGAAGAAATAAATTTGGGGATCGATGGAGGAGAAAGAGGGTTTAGATAATGAACCTTATTTTTTTTATTTCCCTTTTTTTTAAGAGGATATTTATTATCAATTAATTATCTCATTACCATTAAAAAGATGTTAGTAACGGTTAAGTGTCTTTTGGATACAAATAAAATTTTTTTAACTTCTTTAGGTAAATTTAAAAATAAGTATATAAGAGGTACAAAGGTGTAATATAATTTAAAGGAGATCGTAAAGGGTGCAATTTCCTCAAAAATAAAACTAGCCATTGTGGAAAAAATGAATAAGGGCCATGTTATGGGTTAGAAAGACAATAATGTTATAACTAAAAAAATGGAAAAATGTCCCTTCATTGTCGCCGACTCAAATCCCACAATTTTTGTACCGGCGACCAAGTATATTCGGTTCAATGTCATTCAAGGTACGAAT